TAAAATGCAATGGAAACATGTAAATAGGGCCATTATAGATATTTGATGCTGACAGACCAAAATGACACTGCAACTTTGTTTCTAAGACAGGGTATTAGGATACGATTATTCTGACACGAATTTAAAAAACCAGAATATGAAATTTTTCAATTGTTAGCAGCTAGTAAGAGATACAAGTTTTTTTAAATTAACGAGGGTTCAAAAAACTATACGAATCATAGTACCTGAGAATATGCTCTTACCGATTTTCGATTACATCTCTAAATGCAGGATTCTCTTCTATGAGGTCCCGATACTGATCATTTGATATAACCACTGCCCTAGTCCTGGAAGCAAGTTGGAGTATGACCCTGCAAGATAAATAAAATATCCAAGAGCGATAAATACCACCAAGACGACAGACACAGCCTATATACGAATGAAAGAGTGCAGCACGAAAAGGAAAAAAGAAAAGAAAATTGACTATCCCGAACTCACCTTTTATAAAAATGTGAATATAAATAAAAGTTTTTTTAGCGGCGCATAGTTGGCCATTGATTTTGAGCCATATATAATTTTCGAAGGCTTAACATGAGAAATCAAAAACCTCAACGAAATCAACTTTGCGGATTATCAATAATTATCAGAAGTGCAACGCAAGCGGATGCATTAACACCGTAAAATAAAGAAATTGCAAGTTTATAATGATGAAATAGATTCAAGAACTTTCACTAACCGATCATCGTAGGCGCATTGTCTTTCTCCGTTTACGCATCTTGAGGGAGTATAAACCATGTAGCCACGACGTTCATACTCCTTGAAAAGTACTCCGCCTTGACTCTGCCAATGTCGTGGGATAACTATGCTTATGTCATCATGTCCACGCTTTTTGAAATATTCTACAGCTAGCCGAATGCCCTCCACACTAAATCCCAAATTATTCATATGTCTGGGTCAAAAAAGGGAAGTGGAACAATAGTAATAATAGGTAAAGGTCAAATAATGCAAGTAAAATTAATTAAAACTTACTGGAAA